CGTCCCGCCGCCGGGACCGCGCAAGGTCCGCTCTCTGTCTGGCTTTACTTGGGTCAAGGGCGTAGGGCCCGAGGGCGTGCTGGTTGCAGACCCCGACGCTAGGCGGCGCTGATTGCCGCTGGGGATGAGCAGATTTCTCTTGGGAAAATGTGCCAAACACTTTCCTAAGCCCCCGGCGGGTCCTCTTTCCACGCGGCCCCTACCCCACGCTCCACTAACTTCAGTGCAACGCACCAGGCAGGTCGCCTCCGGGCCTTTGCACCGGACGCCCTGGTTCCGCGAGAAGCCCACTGTAAACTAGTCATGGGTTCCCGCTGGCACAGAACTGTGCTCCTCCTCTACCCACCGCACGCGGCCCCTGCAGTGCACCGTGAGCTGCCTGGGGCCAAGGACAAACCCTTCCTGGGACCCTGGCTGGCCCACAGCCTGGCTAGGCGCTGCTCCAGAGCCGTCACCGCCAGGCGGCGAGCTTCCCAATAGCTCCCAGGACCTCCCTCCTGCCACAGACCCGGTCCCTGGGAGGCCCAGTCACTTCTTTGTGATCCCCTGGCAGCAATAGCAGCTCTGGGAACCTCGCCCAGTCATGGAGGACTTGTGCTGGGGCGGGATGGAGACTTCGCCGTGCTAAGTAGGTCCTCAGGTCGCTAAGTGGAGAAGCCCAACCAGTTACCTGCAGCTCAAGCCCGGTGCTTCTTGGGAGGCCTGGTGAAGGGCTTCCTGCTGCTCCAAGCAGAAGGGGTGTTATGAGGCTTGCATTCAAGAGCATGTAGAAAAAACCCGCCCTGACCTGGGCGGGACAGCATGCATTCACCTGCCTGCCCCCACCGACACACCTGGGACTCTCCATACACGTGCTCTTAATCACCTCTGACCTGGTCCACACCACCCTCCGAGGTACAAACTAAGCCACCCGAGTCCTGCCCATTTTCTTCCAGGGAAGTTTCCACATAACCCTAATTTGCTTAATTTCCTCCTGCTCTGGCAGGATTTCTTTTAGATCTGGGCATATGTTAATTTGCATAGCTGGCATCTCCATATTTTTCTCCATTTTTCAATTAGCAAATTTATCTCTTTGATGCAAAAGTACTGGCAAGATTTTGTTGTGGTTTTTTTTTTTCTCACCTAAAATCAGAAAGCTCAGCAGATTTGAAGCCTGTTACTATTCAACTTAAGCTTTTAATTCATGTGCCTATGTTTGTAAGTGCCCACAAAGGTGATGTGTCTTAACCTTGATGGGCACAGCCAGACTAAGGTATTGAGGAGGCATCTTTAGGCAGGTAATGGGGACCCCTGTTTGAGTAAGCTGGGCCTGGGGACCAACCATGGCAAAGCCCGGCTTGCATGGTGCTCTCTGCACAAAGTGCTACACACACTGACCCCACGCTCCCGGGAAGGCGGGGTTCAGCCATCTGTGGGAGCTTCCTCAGGCACTGGGGGGGTGTCTCACCCCATCCCCACACAGCTCTGTCCTTGGAGTGGTTCTGCTAAAGTCCGAGTTTGTCAACCGGTGACCCATGTTCCCTCCCTGGCTGCCCTGTGTGTGCCCCGAGCGCAAGGCGCCTTGGGCAGCTGCTTGACTCGGCGCCGAGCCAGAGCTGGAAGTCACGAGTGACTGTTCGTTCACTCAGAGAACCTCAAAGCGGCCACACTCCTCTGCCACTTCCTGCCGCGGGCCTCACTGTATTCACTTAACACAGTGCTTTGGGCCCCTTGGCCATACCCGGCTGCGCGCTAATTCTAGGGACACCTGCAGGGCGGTTTCCACGATGAAGTGAGACGATGGGGCACCCAGGGTAAGGGCTCTTCCCCTGCTTCTGGCTCTCATTTCATCTCAGAGACCCTCCCCCCCCCACACACACACACCCAGGAACAGCCCTACACCCCCGTGGATGGGAGACACGCATCCCCACGGGGATTTTAGTGACTCGGAGCAAGAAGCACTGCTCCCTCCGAGGACCAGAGATGGGAGCCCGCCCATCTGCGAGCAGAGGTTCGGTGCAGGCAGACCTGTGCTGCTGGCTGGCAGGTCTACTGACCTGTCAGCACCCCCACGGGTCAGACCTGGGCAGGGCCCGGGCTGGTGTCCCATACACTCGGATAATAAATCACAGGGAGAAATTTTCTTTATAAAGAGCTTTCTACACAATCGAGTCTTCAGTTCTCCTAACCAATGAAAACAACCTAAAGTCTGTCCATATTATTCAGGCGACAC